TGGAACCTGCCCAGATGTTCCTGCCCAGATGCATTGGAGAGATTTGCCCACGATGGTGTAAATACCCAGCTGCATTCCAACCTCTGCTAGTTGGACTGACCCACCACAAATCTGAGGTTAACAGCAACAGTTCAGGAGCTGTGGAGACTAAAATCTGTTTAACCTTCCAAGAACAAAGCAATACCTTTGCTAGCAATTGTTCCTTCAAAGAAGCCCTTGGAGACAGTCAGCAATGGCCAGTTGGTATCCAGAGGCATGACAGGAGCAGGAGGCTGCAGCAGCGTTGCATTGTGATCAATGTCTGGAATCTGAACAGAGAGGAGCAGAAAATAGTTCAAGCTAACATGAGGAAAATCCCATTCTTGGAGGTTTTGTGCCTCCAAAGTTGCAAGCCTGATAAGCAGGGACTGGAGTGGAGATGGTTTCTCCCTCCCAGAAAGGAGATGTCTAGCCAGTCACACTAACACCAGATCCCACTGTCTTCATCTTCCCCAATTATCAAAGAATCATAGAATGGTTTGGGTTGGAAGGGACCTTCAAGACCATCCAGTTCCAACCCCCCTGCCAGCAGCAGGGACACCTTCCACTAGACCAGGTTGCTCAAAGCCTCATCCAACCTGGCCTTCAACACTTCCAGGGAGGAGCAGCCACAGCTTCTCTGGGCAACCTGGGCCAGTGTCTCACCACCCTCACAGTGAAGAACTTCTTCCTAATATCTCATCTAAACCTCCCCTCTTTCAGCTTAAACCCATTTCCCCTTGTTCTGTCACATCCTGCCCTTGGCCAAAGTCCCTCCCCAGCCTTCCTGGAGCCCCTTCAGGTACTGGGAGGCCGCTATAAGATCTCCCTGGAGCCTTCTCTTCTCCAGGCTGAACAGCCCCAACTCTCTCAGCCTGTCCTCACAGCAGAGTTGCTCCAGCCCTCGCATCGTCCTCGTGGCCTCCTCTGGACTTGTTCTAACTGCTTCATGTCTCTTGTGTTGGGATTCTAGAGCTCCCATAATGATGCAGGAAGCGTTAGTCAATTTGCTAACCGTTTCCTTTTCAGGATCAAATGTTTCCTTCAAGCTTTCAGCTTCTTCATCCAGACCATGAGTTGCAGCCGTGAGATAGGCCAGGGACTCTGAAATGAGACAGAAATAACGTTGAGTGTGGGTTCCTCATGGCCTTGAGAAAGAAAACTTCTCAAACCAGCAGACACAGCCACACAAAGGAAAGATCAGCAGCACACCAAGGTGGAGAATCACATCTTCAGGGGTGTCACTGGATTCAGGACTAGAATGTGCAGACAACCAACCACTTGAATATGCTCTACAGTTGATTCAGGTCTCTTGGATGATGTTCAAGCTCTTGGGTGACTTTCTGCTCATTTGATTGAGTTTCTCAGCTAAAGGATTAATTATTACACTGATCTGCCTCCAAAAATTACTGTTCAACCCAACAACCTCTCCAGCTTCTCCCAAGCCCACAGGGACAAATGTTACAGTTTGGTATTACTCACTTTGCCCACAGTTCTTCAGGATCCTCACTCTCTCTGCCACGTCTCCTAGGTACAAGGCATTCTGGTAGTGGCCACTCATATCTTTACGGATCTCAGCTAAACCAAAAGGAGACAAAAAAAAACCCAGTCATGATAGCTTTGTTGTTCTTGTCCTCCACTATGACACCGCTAATTACCTCCAGGAATGACACTCAGATCCTCTTCTCTCATTTGGCTTTGTCATCACCTTGGCACTCACCTATCTTCATCATCTTCCGAAGCTTCTCCAGATTGCCAGTGATGAGATAGAGGAAGGAGAGTCTGTCAAAGTTCTTGGTGCGCTGGTAGCACATCTCCACAATCTGGTGATTTCCCTGAAGTAAAGCCACTTCTCCCAGTTTCTCCCAACAATTCTTGTCATCCAGAGCTTTGGCTGCTTCCAGAGCAATCTAAAAAAGAGAATTGTCATGGTTACAAATGCTTTGGAGAAAGCAGTTTTCTCTACAGGACTCTCTTGATAAAGCCCATGATGGAAAGCAAGAGATTACAAGGATCACTCCACTAAATCACAACCCCAGCTGAAGGCCTGCACCTTCACAAGGACACTATCATCCTCAGATCTATCACTCTCAACGAATAATTCTTCTCAATACTCCTCTTCACAGCAAAAGGTTTGCAAGTGATGCCCTAAAGGACCTTTCTTTCTCACAGCACCATCTGTCACCTCACCTCAATGTTGCCACACTCCAGTGCCAGGCTGAAACGGGTCTTCTCATCCTTGACAAAGTGTAGGGCCACCTCAGGGTAGCCCTTTTTCTGCAGGTAGGCAATGATGGATTGGCCCACAAGCTTTGCATTCCTCACCATGTGAAGCACCTGCAAACATAAAGGCCCCAGGTATTGTCAAGACCACTTTGTGAGGGATTTCCCTTAACCCTCAGGTATAACTCAAGGAAGAGTGCAGGGAGCTGGGGCTCTTTAGCTTGGAGAAGAGGAGACTGAGGGGTGACCTCATTAATGTTTATAAATATGTAAAGGGTGAATGTCAGGAGGATGGAGCCAGGCTCTTCTCAGTGATGCCCAATGGTAGGACAAGGGGCAATGGGTGTGAGCTGGAACACAGGAGGTTCTGCTTCAACTTGAGAAGAAACTTCTTTCCAGTGAGGGTGCCAGAGCCCTGGGACAGGCTGCCCAGGGAGGGGGTGGAGTCTCCTTCTCTGGAGACATTCAAGACCCACCTGGACACCTTCCTGTGTGATCTCATTGAGGTTCCTGCTCTGGCAGGGGGATTGGACTGGATGATCTTTCAAGGTCCCTTCCAATCCCTGATATTCTGTGATTCTGTTTCTCCTGTCTCCTCACCTCATCATACTTTCTGTTGATCAATGCCAGCTTGAATTTGAATTCTGTGGGATCAATGGTGAGGACCCTGGGGCGACACTCTCTGTCCAAGCAGTACACGTTGTTCCCCTTCACACGAGTAACGTAGATGGGCAGGTCCAGGGTACGGATGATTCCATGATCCCTACAGGCCAACACACAGCACACGCATGTGACATGCAGACCACATCCCCCACCTCAAAAGAAGCTCAACATTCTCTCTGTTATTTCAGCCTGTGTTATAAAAGCAAAACCCAGGGAGATGAACAATGCAGGGAACTGCTGGAGAGAGTCCAGCACAGAG